GAAATGCTGGAATGTAGTTTCCACTGATTGCTCTTTTAGTAATGCTGCAGACCAATGCCATTACACAATGTTGTTCAGAATGTGTGGGAATCGCTAGGTCACTCATTCTTCAGCTCATACAGGGGGCGGATTTTACATCACAACTGTGTCAAAGCTTGCACAAGTTTGCATAATTTAGTGTCTACTCCTAGATGACAGGAAAATTGTGACCAAAACGGGGAATTTGCAATACAGGCAAAGAATGTAATTTCCTCTGATTGCTCTTTTAGAAATGCTGCAGATCAATGCCATTACACAATGTTGTTCAGAATGTGTGGGAATCGCTAGGTCACTCATTCTTCAGCTCATACAGGGGGCGGATTTTACATCACAACTGTGTCAAAGCTTGCACAAGTTTGCTTAATTAAGTGCTGCATTAGTGTACTCTTAGATGACAAGAAAATTGTGACAAAAAGGGGAATTTGCAATATAGGCAAAGAATGTAATTTCCACTGATTGCTCTTTTCAATCTAAGGCTATGGTAAAAATTAATGAGTATAGAGTGATGCAGTGAAATGGCACACTTACGGGGTATTGGGGAGTGTCTCCGGATATCAGTGTCTCCTGCAAGGAAAGAGAGAGGGAGGGAAAGAGAGAAAGAGACAAAAGAGAGGGTTACACGGGTTTGGTGTATATTGCATAAGCCATTAGCTGCATTATGAGCTACTCTCTGATTGAAACACCAAGTGTGACTTCATTTTTCATGACACTACTCCAGAGTGAGAGAGAGAGAAAGCCCAAGGGATAGGCTGAGTTTAGTAGTATCTGTTACAGTACTTTAGTAACTCACAGGTGGCTTTTCAGTCAGGCGGCTTTTCAGTCATGCGGCTTTTCAGTTCGGAGGTCTTGACATCTGCCGGCAGACTGAAGAACTGGCCGCAGGGCCCATGTCTTATAGGTAGGAAAACTGGTTTTAGGACACTGGTATTACCAGTTATGGCATGTATGCCGGATGTGTTTGCAGCCTGTACTCAATGTTTCCTGCATAATGCAGTGGCTCATGTGGTCAGGGGCTGGTGGGTGTACTGTAGGGTGTGTGGTGTGTGGCGGTTTCATCTTTGAGTGTGGGAGGGTTGGCATGGATATGATCCTCTCAACTGTCACATGCACAAGCCTGCACACACTTAGTGGTGGGGCTAATGATCAATCTGTGGGTTTGCAAGTGCAGATAGCAAGTGGGTGTCATAGTTTTATTTACTGCTAAGAAGCACTGGGCAGAGCTAACACTAGTACACCTACACTATTAACTCTTGCCCAGGTGACTTCTGCTACTGGGGCTGATTATTTACTGCTAAGATTGTTGGTTGTGGTACTCTGAGCAATATTGCTGCATGTATGTCCTGAACATGCTATATGAGGTGGAACTCCCACACACAAGCTAATCAGCTGATTTTATGATAAACCGTCATTAAGAGTTATTCTCCCATCCTTTAATAT